GCGAACGGGAATCGCCGTTATTAACGAGCGAGCGTTCCGACAGCCGTTAGAATATTGAGGCAGTTTCATCGCGAGATGAAGCGACGCAGAAGCGACCGAGCAATCGCCGACTGATTGGTCTGCGTCGGTGTAAAACGAAAAAAAGAAAAAAAAAAAGGAAAAGTAGCCGTCCAAGTCGTAAATTACCGCCAGCGATTCCCTGATTCGATTGAGAACGTGGAATATCCGAAGCCTCCCACGAACCGAACGTGACCAGAAGGTTGCCTCGGTTGGTACTTGAAGAGAAATAGAGAGAATTTCGCGAAACTATATATATATAAATGATCGCAACTTGGCCATTTATCGAATTAGTCGCAGAGAACTGGAAAGTACCGTTGGTCTTTGGCTTTCTCGAAAAAAAAGAAAAAACAAATTGTTTTCCCATCTGTTTGATTCTTTTTACAGTATCTTGTGTAACACGCGCGATCGAAACAATCTCTTAGACTGTAATCTACAACGACGGAATTCTCTGTAAATTAGAGAGCATCAACATGCTAATGCTACTTTGTGCGAGATAAGCGTATGCAAATAAATATAATATATTACGCATTGTGCATGCGCATTCAGCAGAGCCTGCAAATCCAGTCTTCCGTACTTCCACAAATTATATATATGAATATAAAGAAGCGTCTCTGTTGAAGAAGCATACATTGAAAATAAAATATAAACGAGAATACATTTGCGTGGAAACATTCGTGTTATTCGCGGACATAGCGATATGAAAGAGAAAAAAACATGAATATTAATAGACCTGAGCAAATTTAAGCAAACTGCTGAGTCTTTCTCAGAAGAAAGTCTTATCCGGTACGAAGTCAATCTTTAAAGGAATAGCCGTCTTCTTAGCCTTTCAAGCGCCGTCATCAAAGTTTCATGAGTAAAACGTAAGACAACGCAAAGGCACCGGCTGGTTTAATAAAATACGAAGCTATCGATTACCAACTCTGCTTTTGCCTGCAAAACGCGAACTTTCAGCGTATCGCACACACTTAATCCAACGATTTCATCTATAAAACGCGGAATGAAAAGTAGCTCTTAATTAATCATGCCTCAAAGTAATCTACCGCTGATCACGGAAGCAGCAATTAATACCGCTTTATTAATATTTGCTTTGCATGGAATTTAGTTTCTCGATTTTATCCTCCAAATTAAAATGTGATAATCGATTTGCGAAATAATTATATAAAATAATTTATAATTATCTGTTGAAGAATACAAAAAAGCCGGAGCGTTTGAATTCATCTACTCTCGCAGATAGATTACAAATTTAAAAAAAATTTCTTTCAATAATTTCTTCTCCTCTTCTATAATTACACATCGTTGCGGCGTGATCGATTGGCGATGAGAAGTGAATTATTAACCGCAAAAATACTTGGCGCGAATAATGTATTACAGGATTAAATAATATCAGCGGCGGCAGGTGCGAGGAGCTTTTCTAGATCCAGCTTAGCACTTCGGAAATGATAGTCTTAAGCAGATTCCCGATGGGAAATAAATTCTCCCACGACCCCTCCCATCGCTCCCGTTCTCTCGTATCCCATGGAGTCCCATAATTCCATATTCCGTACCGTAACGGCGAATTTCGCTTGTAACAACTCGTGCGTATTTATCGATCAGCTGACGGAGGAAATTTTCGTCGTGTGTTGCGTACAGATAACAAAAGATATTTCAACTTGATGTTTTATAGGAATATACGTATAATATATGTATTTGCATTTAAATTGGACTCTTCACGCGATTCCAGTATATTAATTATGATTATACTATATATTCATTAAGTTAATTATCAATTATTATTACGTACCGCGCTCGGCGCGCAATTGGGGTATCAATTCAAATTATATACTGCATATTAAATTGTTAATTATTAATTGTTACACGAATAAGCGGAGAGGTGGAACGATTTTATTTCAAATTAATTTTAACTAAATTTTTCGTCTTTATATTTTCGCAAACTCCTTTTCCTCCGTCTTAAAAACATAATGTAAGAAGCTTGCGTATTTGGGATAGCAGACTCGTCTTCGTCTCTGCTATCGAAGCTTTATTCGCGCGATACAAGTCTCGAGAGGGATGGCGAAATAAGATAAAAATCCCCCGTGGGCCGAAATCCCTGGATTTTTTTCAAAGCTATCTATTTGCCGCGCCAGGGAAAATAACCGGGCTACATGCTAACGCGAAAGCGGGTTAACGACTTCTAAACCGTAAAAAGAATCCGCGGGTCTTCCCTTGTCGCGTAAATATGCAACGGAATAAATAAATGACAATAATCGCGGAGTATAGAGTTTAAAGCACAGGCGCATCAGTCAGGCGGTTATCTCCCGGATTTGCACCCGGAAGACTTACGCCGTTTATGCATTGTTACCTTTATGCTAATTAATACGAGAGAGAGGAAGGGGAAGAGATGTTCAGAGAGACGAGATGAAACGACTGCAGCGGAATAATAATTATCACAAAGTTTTCACTTCACGCGCGTTCTCTCGTAAACTCGTTCTCGACGACTGTTGTAGACAGTTTCGCAATTTGCGCGACGTCATTATTGTGCGGTTTTAATCGTGACATCGATACGCACGAGCGTCACTCCCGATATGAACGCGCGTTACGCTCCTATATTAAATTTCGCATTTTCTCTCTATCGACATTTTCCTCTTTGCGTCCAAAAAAAAAAAAAAACGAACATTCCGCTGATTGCGTTTTGCGGATTTGCGACAGTATTTATTTTATTTTATTTCCCAGAAGACATCCAGAGGATGCTCGATGTTCTCTAGATATCCTCTAAACGTCTTTCGGATAGGTTGTGCTGTTAGGGTTGTTATCCTTCATCGCGAGCGAAGCTTTTTTATTTTCACGGAATTGTGAAAAATTTGACAATTCGTTTGTATGTCAAATTATATATTTATTCGAATTAATTAATTTTTGCGTCTTCATTTAATTATAATACATTTATTTTGAGACCTGAATAAATTTTCTCTCGAAGAAAGTTCACGTCATAAACGTGTCAAGAATAAATCGGAGCATCCACCGCGCAGAGTCAATCAGAGGAGAATCTCGGTCACATTAATCGCCTGGTTAAACTCTATCGATCAAAGTCACCCTTATTATCGGTCGCGAGAAAATAAAGTCGGGGCGAGCCTTGACCAATCTGTTTAATCACTGCGAAAAATCGTATATACGTAAAGAATATTAATTCAACACTGACATATATAATAATTTAAAGACGATCTTATAAATTGTAAATTTCATTCAATCGATATTCAAAATAAATATCAAATTTGAGTACTCGATTGTGTTCACCGAGATATCGATCAAACGATTATACGATTTTGCGGAACACTGTGCTGTATTGAACTGTGTAATCTCAACGACCGATTAATGGGGCTTTTTCGCAGCGATTTATCGCGATTAACGTCATGTTTTCACCGAACTGCAAGCACGCGTCCCGATCAGTTAATTACCAATTTACGTCGTCATTAATGTTGAATGACTCCGAACGAAGCTATATTGTAGCTATATAGAATTAAAGCAACACGCTCGTTTACCCTACGAATTCGTTGCGAGATAAATCGGGGAATAATCTAAGGGGGCTCATCACACTTTAAATCGCGGAAGCGATAGACGAAGCGCTTCGGAGGAGACTAGATGACAAAGAACGGGGTTTAAAGGGCGCGGGTTGTCCTGTAAACTAACCCCCGACCTGGTGAAGCGTTAAAAGTCCCTCCACGAGTCTCGTTATTGCGTTTTATACCGGTGAACGTGGTACACACGCTCGTAAGACGGTCGCGTGAAAAATGAAGCTTTAATGGCTTCGACCCGTGGCGCAATTATGTCGCCGTTTTACGAGAGAAAGCGATTTATGCGAACGCGAGTCTAATTAAACGAGCCGGATGAAACCTTTAGCCGACGTAAGCCAATAAAATATTTAATCGCTCCGACGTTTACGTATTATAACAACGTTATTAAATTATCATCGGTAAAACTATCTTTGTCACAAATATACGTACAGTACCCTCCATAAGTTTAGAAACACCTTACATTTTACAGTTAAAGGATTGCATGCATGGCAGTGATCTGTTATAAATAAAAATTTCATTTAAATATTTTATGTTTATTTGATGATTTATTTATACAAAGAATCTGCACAGATCTGTCAAAGGTTTCTCTTATTTTAAGAGAAAAATTCTCTAAAGAAATATTCTTTAGAAAATTTTTAATGGAATGTTTTTTTATTATTTGAAATATTATTAATCGTGATAACAAAAAATAGTCTTATGTCGCATGGCAGCGATCTGTCATAAATAAAAATGTTATTTAAATATTTTACAATTTATTGATACAAAAAATCTACACAGATCGCTGCCATACACTGTAAAAAAATATGTAATATATTACACAAAAATATGTCAAATTACATCATTAATAAGTGTAAAATTACACGAAAAATAATAGAAATGTTTATCTTTTTATTATTTATCATGTAATTTTACATTTATTATTTATGTAATTTTATATATTTTTAATGTAATTTTACATATTTTTTTTACAGTGTACGATTGTTGTAAACTGTAAAATGTAAGGTGTTTCCAAACTTATGGAGGATACTGTATATACAGGGTGTCCGGTAACTAACGGACCAATGATTAAGGGCGGATTCTCTGGCCAATTTGGAAACGATTTTTCTTTAGCAAAAATGTTGAGAAGTCAATAATTTTCGAGTTATAAGCGATTGAAAAAAATGGGTCTTTGAAAACTAAACGTTTTGAAGTTAAAAGTCTAACATAATTACATTCTTCAGTTAATTTCAGGTAGAGTTTACTATAATAAAATTTGAATTTGAGGGTTAGTTATAAAGATACATAATGACAAATATTGGAAAGTTGTAAAAATGATGACCTTTTTCGACATTTTCGCTGAGGAAAAATTGTTCCCAAATTGACCAAAAAATCCATTTCTAATCGTTGGTCCGTTAGTTACCGGACACCCTGTATATTATCATAATTGATCGAACGTCGATCGAGCTAACAAGGAAATATAATTATTGCGTTGAACTTTTTAAATAAATGTTCGCGAAAGGCGGCAATCTCTCGATCAGTCGTGTATAAATCGACGCGCTCGATTGACGTATTTCTAATCTCATATAAATTCAATGGCATGGAAAAATGCTAAAGTTTTTCGTTCCAGCGATTGGGAAACGCGCGTCCGACACACAAAGAACGATCGGCCGGCTAATAAAGTTTTCCCTCGCGCCTGTCCATTAATCGCGCGAGATCAAAGCACGTCGAGGCGCGGTTAAAGGTTCCCTTTCGCGCGATACAAGCGTCGACAGCGAACAGAGTCGAGTCATTTGCCCCGATATCATTGTCTAAAAGTCGAAACCTAAACGATACCGAGGAGAGAAGACCGTCAGAGCGAAAAGACGAGCCGAGAGAAACAGAGGGCTTGGACGGGGTTGATGGAAGGAGAACTACCCTCTCTCTTTCTCTCTTGATTCTGGGGCGTCACTATGGCGACTTCGAAACGCAAACTCCGCAACCCCTCGCAACAACCTATATCCCCGGGACCACCCTCGGTAACCTTTCCGAGCTAACATACCTAGCTTACCGTCATCCCAATTCCGCCGGGAACCCGGCAGAGGCGCCGGTTTTCGACCACGACCGACGTAACGACGTTGCGTCCGGTCTTTGTTGTCACCCGGTTTAATCTTTCCGCCCTCCGTCCCGATAGAGAACGTGCTCCATTTCTGCTCGTGCTCGTTACCGTCCACCGCGCCTCTCTTTTTTTCTTCTTACCTTTTCTCTTTTCCGTGCAATCGCTCTCACATTGCGGCCAATATCGAATTTTCCCGAGACCGGAATAACTCCATTTTTTTTTTCCCTCGATAGTTTTCTCTCCCATCTTCTCCCGCTTTCTACACGTCTTTTCTTTTTTTTTTCCTTTGACAAAAACTCGCGACAATCTTCGATTCTCTTCACCCTCTCGCGCGACATTCGGAATCTCATTTAAATAAATTATCGCGAAGGAACAAAACGCTCTCGAGATTCAATTTATGAAAATTGCGCTATCTATAATACCGAGATAAAGATCGCAATGGGAAGGGGATAGGATTTACTGTATTGTGAATGCAGAAGCTGCAGGAGTCGCGGTCGCCATTCTCCGAAGGAGCTGGTTCTCGCGAACCGCTTGTTTTCATTATTACGATGTTGCGTATCGGAATAATCTAGCCGCCGCTAGCCGAGTCTGTCTGGAACGCTACATTGTGGCTCGAGAGAGAGTACACCGCCTTGTCACCCAATTTAATCTCCATATCCACTCCTAGAGAGCTCGGTCACGCTTTGTTCGCCATGCTCCCTCGATACGGCCTCTCCACTCTCATCGGGTACCTCTCACTCGTCCTTTGTGTCCTCCGACCATGAAAGAACTCTCTCTGCTGGTCACACACGCCGCAACTCTTTCGGAAGATATTCTCACCCGGTGGCGACTATCGATGTCAAGTCGCAGCCGAGGTTTGCCACTTCGACATCAAAGTTTCCGTCCAGAAATTATTTTCCTTCCCTTAAAAAAAATAAAAAAAAGAGGTGCATATATAAATTAGAAAAAAAAAGAAAAAAAACGCGCGTGAGTAATGATTAAAAAAATATTTTTTTCCAGATAATAAATCAAAAGCGTAACATATTGTAAAATGATTAGAGATGTCTTCCTAAATTAGGATTTATAATAAAATTAATTTTTTTGACTGTTTTAATCGATCGTAACTTTTGACGCACTACAATTTTTTGAAATTCACGATCGAGTCCTAATTTATTTATTTCTGAACAGATTTAAAGATCTGCATTCTTCTAGGTGTCCAATTTGTTTAGCCGCTGAAACATGTCCAAAAAATATTTATTTAATTTTTCCCTAAAAAATAAAAGAAATGTCTTCTCAGAGATTTTAAATTTGAAAAATCGGAGAGATGGAAATCTTGATTGCAACCCGCGAAAGATTGGTCGACGATCTTAACATTTCCGCAAAGGGGAAGCGTGAAAGAGTCGAGTAGTCAATGTCTTTGTAGAGTATCTTAATACAGTGGCGGTCGAGATATCGATAGTACCAAGACACGCCGAACAATCGATATGTTCAATCGCGGCTGAACTTAATTTCTCCTCTTTCCTGCCCGATCTTATTCGCGGAAGAAAGAGGGAGAGAGAGAGAAAGTCATTATAACTGAACCCCGGCTACACAAGTGGATCGAAGAAAATGGATTCAACGCGGATCTTCGTATCTCGCAAACTTCTTCGCGACACAATGGAGTCGCTATATGCGAGCGCTAAGTTTATGCTCGAATCGGATTAGTCCGCCCTGCAATTTAACGGCGCCGCGACGTTAATGCTACACTGCACTCGGATGTGAAGGTGCATTTAGATCGCCCTCCCAACCCTCTTCCTTCCTTCCTTTCTCTGAGTCGCAGAATCCAACGCGGCTTCGAACTAGTTTTCAAAGACACGTTTATGTCGAAGTGCTTTCCCTCTCCTCTTCGTAACAGTAGATTACGCTATCTGTCATCTTTCGACGAGTGCATATTGAGAGAGAAGTGCGCTATCTGCGCACTCGCGCGTACAGAAATTTCGTCAAGGGACCCTAAAATGGCAGAAGGGACGCGCGGCTATATATATTGTATATCGCCGGTCCAGCTCGATGGTTACGAGCAAGGGCTAAGCAATGTACCGTCCAGCGGAACCCTTATCGTTACCAGTACGGTTTAATCTACGACCGTCCTTTTCCCCAATTCCGCTCTCATTTTATGTCCGCGATTTTCGTTACGAGTCTGCGACGCCCTATTCTTTATCTTCTCGCTTCCTGAAGAGGGCCGGGCGAGAAACATTTCCGGGTGTCAACCCTACGCCCTTCGGGCGGTAACATAACTGCTGATCTGTAAGTCGGTTACCAACTCGACCGTGACCGCGATTACAGACTCGTGGCAACCGCCAATCTGATCTGGGGGGTCTGCGTCTGCTGATAGACGGCGAGGGAAATAAGCAACACCAGGAGTAAAATAGATTACGAATTGCATCGCGTGATCGAGCAAACATCTTGGCCTGCGGAATTCATTTTAGCTAGAGCTATCAAATGGATTTTTATATATTATATATATTTTTATTATTTTTTTATTATTTATTATATATTATAGATATATATTATAGATTTTATTATACTAGTTATTTTATTATTTTTTATTTATTTATTATATATTATAGATATTTAATATTATATATTTTTAATGTACAGGGTGTATCTAAATAAGTGCGACAAATTTTAGGAGATAATTCTTTGTCGAAAATTAAGAGGACTTATATTAGAGAAGAAAAATTAAGTTTTTATTTTTTCTCAAATTTTTTTCAGACAAAAAATAAAACTTGATGGGTATTTTCCACTAATAAAAAGGATATTCGTTAATATTTTTTAAAAAATAAAAACTTAACTCATCCAGGAAGGTATATAAGAGTATATGTTTATATAAGAAACCTCCTTAATTTTCGATAAAAAATCATTGAAAATGTTTCGGTATATTTTTATTAGTCGTTTGTTTCTCTCTCCTTCTTTTATTTAATTTTATTTGATAAAACAACAGCGCTTTATAATACTCGTTTCCTAGGTTCTTTCTTGACAGGTGCAGCAGTTTGCTGCTATTGGTAAAGTTCAATTGAACGAACAGCAAAGGCAACAAAGCAAAAGAACACTCAACTAGTTAATTCTAATTATTATTATTATTATTATTATTATTATATTAGTTAAATAATAGATATTAAGAATAAAATAGATTATGATAAAAATTAAAAAAGCAAAAATCGTAATTTTAACCTTGAAATAATAAGAGAACAAAGAAATATGCTCTAATAAATTTTGATCATGTGACTGATTTGCTGCTGCAGCATGCTGCGTATGAAAATGCACCTTAAGAAAGATCCTGTTACAAACATCGTCGCGAATCGAGCCACCGACGTGTCTCTCATAATTCTGATTAATGACATACCTCTATTATTATTTGAGTATCAAACTCGCGCGCGGAAAACGGCACGTTTCGCAACTATTCGCTGACATGCGAGGGAAATAAACTATCTTCATCGTCGTCCTATATCTGCCAACCGAGCTCTGTCACGCGAAGCGGCGTTTCGCATGCAAAACTATCGGACCGGATAACCGAGCAGAGAGAGAAGTGCATTTCGAACTCTGACCTCGCTTTCTGTGCTCGAACTCGTTATACGAACGAGAGTCCGTTTTCGCGAAAACGATTCGCGAACGTATATATATAAATGTATGAGTGCGGGTGTGTTGATGTGTATTCGTCACAAAGATTGGTTTTATCGAATCGGCGTAAAAGTGGCACACGAGACACTGTCCAGTTTCAGCAGATCGTGGGAGAGATAGATGTCGAGAGATGCTGTTCTTTCCCAATCCGATTATGCAAATCTTCTAAAGAAATAAAAAGCCGCGAAAGTTGGATCACTTATTGCGGCGCGCGATATTAAACGATAAGAAGTTAAATTACTTTGGATAAATAAAATACAGTGCGATAGCATTCGAGAATCTTATTGTCTCGCTCGCGATGAAAATAATAAATGAACACGGAGGAAAATCCCCGTGAGATTGAATGGGAGAGAGAAACTCGAGAACTCGTTCCAAGAAATATATCGGTATGATTAATAACGTGTAATTAGCATAAAATTTCAATTTAATACAATTTTAGGAAAATATTTCTGCAAGAAGTGAATGAGGGCGAAGCAAATAGCTTACAAATATCTATTTTTTAATACAAAGTATCGTCAGAAAAATACATAAAATCCAAAGAAATATTATTTCAGATAATTTATTTAAATAAACTCGATATAGAGACAGCGTTTTTATAAACGAAAATGATTGCTTGTGTAAAAAAGTTTTTTGTCGCTGAGAAATATAATATTCATCGTTGGAGAGAAACGGATACAAAGAACATAAAACATTATCAGTTTCTCTGTAGAAAAAAGTCAAATTTTAGTGAGCGACAATTTTTTTTAGATTCCGCGCGATACCTGATAATAATTGGTTTCGTTCCGTTTGCGATTCTGAATACGCGATCCATGATTTTAAGCGTCAAAGCTCGTCAAAACACGTGCTTGAATTTTTAATTAAAGCTCCCTTCGATCACTGATAAAACATGCAGACACCCCGAAAGTTTTCCGAAAGGTTCTTTATCTCACGTCCATACTTTTCCCTTACGCTACGCAATTTTTTCGAGTGTCTAAACTAATTTACATATAAAAGAAATCACCATGCAAATGTTTCATATAGACATGAATAGCAAATTGTCCTTATAAATCAATAATTTTCTATATAATATTTTCTCATATAAATTTCTCATCTTAACTATTTCATCAAGTCTGACAGTAAAATTAAATTAAAATTTTCTTAAAATTATATAAAAGGTTCTACATTTTTAACTCTATATCGTAAAAAAATTCCTTTACATTTGTCGTTATCTCCACACTTCTAATTTGCAAAAAAATGGACGTTACATAGGTCGTGAAATGTCCGTACATAAAGAAGAAAGCGAACAAGACAAGATACCTGCGAAATATCCTGCGCGTAACGATTGTAAAACGTCAAATGGAAATGTGCAACCATCTCGCCGAGAGAGATACGGAAAAGGGAAGAGAAAGAAAAGGGACGGATCTCTTTTACACCGCTTGCCACTTTGCCGGATTTTTTTATTCAGATATCGCGAAGACATTTCCGTGACTCAATGAGCCGCGAGCAGTCTGCCGACGTGTCGATCGTCGCAAATCTGCGACGGGAAAAAACGCGAGGGATGAGAGAAGAGATAGGAGAGCCATTCTCTGGAGAAAAGTCGCGAGTCGTTAAAAAAAAAACTTGAGAGGTGGAATATCGTTTGACGGCGCCGGATCGACCGGATATTTCGCCCTCGCCCTGGAAATCGAACGTCTCGCGATGCATCTTGGGAACAGCGTGCACGAATATCGGAGCCGTTGCTTTATTGTCCGACAGCCGGGCTGATATATAGCCGAGACAATCCCGCCCCGAGGAAACGTTATTTCTGACCGCGCGGTAACCTTCCTATGCAATACGTAGCACGTTCTTGTCTAGCAGAAACGCGCTCGTTTATTTTGGAGCAGCGGCAAGAAGCGCAACGGTAAAAGGAACGAATCTCGACGACGGAAAGGAGCGATAATGTCATTCATTAAATTCTGGAAAAAAGCCGACATAAGGGAATCACTTGCCTCGATCGAATATATCTGCTACAAGATGGGCCCCCTAAGTGCAATTTTCACGAAAGAGGAATAAAAAGAAAAACGATGAATGTAACCTTCAAAGTGAAATCACGATGTCTTGTGAGAATCCTGGTTTCTATCGAAACTTTTATTGGTACATGTATATATGTGTATATAAAATCAAAAGAGGGTTTCGAGATATGAAAATACTGCTATTATCGGAGAACCAGTTTTCCTCCGGGAAACATTCCCCAGAAATCTCTCTGACAAATGTGCGAATCTAACTGTCGGGACGAATCAAAGGGATAA